CCGCGCAGGGCCTGTGCTGCCGCCGGTGGGGTGGAGCGGGGCCGTCCTGCAGAGGATAAAAGCTAAACAAGTGGTCAGTGTTGCAGTCGACCTCTTAATGCTACCTGTTCCATCAGACCGTACCGAGCTCGTTACAGAAATCCCGTTTACAAACCGTATCCGTGCGCCTTGTGAGCGCCTACACACGTGAGCATCCCTGCGCGGTACGGAGAGGGCCTCAGAGGGCTGCAACCTCCACAGCATCTTCCTTTTTCTTTTATCCCCTTAGATAATAATTCTAAGTTTCCTTACTAACCTTTTTAGAATATCATAATCACCAGAACTTACCAGAAATGGCAACAAAAATGCCACTGAAAGTCAACAGGCTTACAAATCTTAATTTTTTTTTCTCACTATGAGTTATTAATGCATCATGATTTGGTTTCTTATATGTATCTCAAGAAACAAAGTCTCTGATTCTGTGTAACTATCAGTCTAGCAACACAGTGAAATGCTCCTACGTATTACTACTCCTCATCAATTTAAAGAAAGTAAATGTTCAGGACACATTTTTTCCTTTCTGAGTGGAAGTGATAAAGAGGAGGGAAATGTCACTGGGCACATTTCCACTGGTGTTATATACAGTGCCCTTCATACCACACATAGAATCATCCCATCTGGTCTTTGTTAGGGAGAAACTAAACCCTGTCACTTTTACTTTTGCATGAGTAAGTACTGAGGACTATGTTACAGCTTGAGATACTTCATACTTTTAATTTCCTCCTCCCTCTGACTCAAGAAAATGCAAATGAAAGACCATAGCATTAAAAATACAATGTACTCTCTACTTCAGACTGTTGACATTCTGAAACTATGATTCAGAATTGGAAATAGAAAAGCCATTTATAAAAAGGTCAACTTTCTATAAAAGTGACGATTTTGATGAAATCTCTTTTTTCTTCAGGAAAACTTTCTATCAAAAATGTTCAAACAGATGTGATACGTTGATCTACTGCAGTGCAATCTTTAGGCTGTACCTGGATTTCATATAGTTTGTTAACAGGAACAAACATCCCAGGGAAAGGGAAGATCACCTATGGTATGGGATCAGGGTGTGGGCAGAGCCCACTGGAGGACTGAGACCACAGGACACAGCCCTTGGGCATCCCTCTTCTCTCTCAACCCAACCACTGACTTCTCATCTGCATGCCCCATCTAGAACTGCAGCTTGGCATAGCCTGTCCTGCAGCAGTGGTTTACCTTTAGTCTTTCCTGCACTGAAAAAAAAATCACGATGAAGGTGGTGTTTTCACTGGTGGGATTAAAGATGACGTGCAACCTTAGAGTGCAGGTATCAGAAAAGTAATGTTCTCCTAAGTGAAAAGAGAGTCACTCAGGCTGAGGTGCCTCCATGGAGAGCCCCCTCACCCAAAAACTCTTTAGTCCATGGAGAGAAACAGGTATTCAGAGACAATTCATCCCACCTAAATTCTGGAACAACCAAACTCCTAATTTCAGTATGTCGGTAAACAGCCCAAACTTAACTGCAAAAGTTATTTCAGTAAGAATTTCAGAGCCTGTTGCTGGGTGATCTCTTAGTTTTCATGAGACTCTGCACTTCTCAATTTTTTTTTGTCCTTTTTGTAATATCAAATCTCAGAATTCTATGACAATTAAAAACGGAAAGGATGCCCTAGATAAATAATTTAGGTTGTAAAATAAGCAGTACTCTCCAAACAGAAGATGTGGGGCTCTAGAAACAGCACAATAACATATGACCATCATTGGCTTGGGGTAAAAATGGAGCAGTGTGAATTCACCAAGTAAATTCATTGCTTTCTACTACTCTTTCATAAGAACAGTTTTACCTGGATTTGAAAAGTACAGTCCTAAGCTACTTCCTTTAAAAGAGAGGCTGCATAAATCTCCCTGCTTTGTAAGCATCATACAGTACCCCAAAATATTTGCATTAAGGAAGAAGATTGGCAGAGGTACCCATTCAAGTGTAAGAGCTATGACTTTTAATATTCTTGCTCACTTTTCTGCCTCTTCCCTTTAACTAACTTGAGCCAAGAGAATCAACAGGAATATTCAAGTATATAATAAAAGAACTACAATGAAAATAAGTGGTTTATGCCCTCTGGATTATTAAATCATAACCACCTTTCAATGCCAAATATGTTTAATCTTTTCTTTTGCAGTATGTCCCAATGGAGTCAAGTTCAACAACTGGAAATAAAGTTTTTGGAGCAGGTAGACCAGTTCTATGATGACAACTTCCCCATGGAAATCCGCCATCTACTAGCACAATGGATAGAAAGCCAAGATTGGTAGGATTAAATTTATTCCCTCTCATGTTATTTCAGTCATGAACAATTCTTTCATTGTCTAGCAAATTTTAGGGTGCTCATTTGTGAACTGTGCAGGCACCTGCACTCCAGGAATAGTATTCTGCCAGTTATGGATTTAGGCTGTTGAACTGTCAAAGTTTAAATTTAAGGAATGCCTGAAGGAGAGGTTTCATTTGAACTTATACCTAAACAAAATCTAATAACAAATGGTCTAGCAAAATAACAGTATTAAAAGTTTTTCACAGAAAAACAACAATGCAAGTCAGTTTCCACTGGAAATGTTATACATTTACCTCTTGCAGCATAAAATTATTCACTTGTCCAAAATTACAGCTGGATATATAATTTTGGGGAACAAGCCAGCTGTTCGCAGGAACTATTCTCTAGAAGATGAATTTATGCACAAACTTGGATCAAATTTGACAGCTATCTTAAGAAAATACAGAACTAAATGCAAAATAAAAAAAAATTATACTAGTGTGCAAAGAAGGAATGTTAATTTTTCAAGCTAAATCCACAAGATTATAGGAGGACTATTGGGAAAAAAAAAAAAAAATCTGCTAATGAATGCAAACTTTGCTTATAGCTCAGTGTCTATGGGGCTGTAAGAACACAGGAAACATTAAAAATCTCCTTTTTGACAAATTTAGCAGGCATCTCAAGCAGGCATCTGCCTTTTTGGGGGCAAGGAGAGAAAATATCCCAAGGACAAGGATGCCACGCAGTCCAAAGTCTATCTACTGTTCTGCTTGCTAATGTTACTGCCCTTCAGGTTCTCTAAACAGCAGAACCAGTAAAGCCTAGTTTTGTGTTTGTGTCCTTTGTCCCCTACATACCCTTCACCAGTAGCTTCAGAGTCTTCCTGTATCCCCAAATAGTTTGGCCAGGCAAAGGCTCATCTGGTGCCTGGTGTGAAGATATATATCTGCTGACTGGCCATCTGGCTGGTGCCTCCTGGAGCAAGTTATTATTGCCATTTTCCTCAGTGGAGGCACTAATTTGGAATCCTCTCCTCTACCAACCTGCCAGTTTTCCGTGAAATGTGTAAGAACATACTCTCTTTTGGACTTTGAGCCCAGTATCAACTTTGTCTGAAACTGGGCAGCAAATTCAGAAATCACATCTGTGTGACTGATGGAGCGAGAGGGACAGTATGCAAAATCCCCATTTCCTCTGAGAAGTGGGATAAAAATAGTTAAGTATTCACTGGAGCAGAGACTAGAAAACCCTGGTTGTGTCCCTCCTGGCTCACTGCACAGCTAAGAACATCCTCACCCTATCTTTCTTGCTGCTTATCTGTGTGAATATAAATAAAAAGATCATAAAATCAGTTCTTCCCAAACCTCTTAACTAGATGCAAGTCACCCTATATTTAAAGCCTTTTTTGCTGCCTAGATTTCTGAATGGATTATAATTTTCTGTACAGATAGACTGACACTTCTTCTGACGTTTTAAACATGCATGTTCCCATTCATTGATTCTCTAGGGAGGCTGCATCCAACAATGAAGCAATGGCAATGATCCTTTTACAGAACTTACTAATACAAGTGGATGAACAGCTGGACCGGGTTTCACAGGAGAAGAATCTTCTCTTGATACACAACCTGAAGAGAATCAGGAAGCTGCTGCAGGTGGGTCATTGCTTCAGATGATAGATTGCATACTCTGCTTTCTAAAGGTAGTGCCCAGCCTCTGAATGCAGTTTGTTCCTGGGCACAGCTCAGAGCTGTCCTGGTTGCTATAGACTCCAAGCAGCTATGGGAAGACCAAGCCTTCAACAAGATAATTCAAAAGAATAATTCCACTGTCTGTTGCTCTGTGGAACAGTAATTCACATTTTAATGCACACTGCTCAGATACAAGTGCTGTGACTTCTTAGCTCTATGCTTTTAAGAACAAGACCATATAGGCTTATGGATGTTCCTGTTTATTACAGATGTAATTACCCCTTTTCAGACACATGCAGATATTTGACTATGGAATAAAAATGTGTATTTCAGGCTTAAAGCAGCACCCTGAAAAAGGAACTCCTATAAATCATTACCATGTTTGCTATTTTATGCTTAGCTGGGATAAATTGTTGTGAATGGCTTACAGGATTTTCCATTAGACTTCTGCAAAATGATATTTATTTTGATTGGCTGAATGTTTCTCTGATAATTATTTATGTAAGGCAAGAATTCTCAGAGTTCCACTTCATTAGTCACATACTTCCTGACATCTATCTGTCTTCTACATAACGCAGATATGCATCTAGGTTTAATGAAAGTTTGGGGTTTTCTTTCAGGGTGTTTTCCATAAGTAGTTAAATTAGATTCCTTGCAAAATATGTTCTTTATCTTATATATATATATACACACACGCTGGTGTGGAAAATTTTAGCGTGACCTTGCCAATTATTTTGTTGTCTTTATGGCTCTGTCTTTCTATTCTCTATCATTAATGGTGGCTTCTTAAAAATGTGACTATTTCCACTGCTACCAATTTTTCTTCTGGTGTTATGCAAGCAGTCTCACGGAACTTAAAAACTCAAGTTGCTTTTTGCTTCTTTTATGGTTTGTGTAGCAGCACTATCCATAATTTCAGTACTGCTCCAACAGCAAATTTACTTAACTGCTTTTGGACTTAACTGCAGAAAGGTTAATCCTGTTATTTCTGTCATGGTCTTGGCAATGCTTTACCACAGTAGGGCAGAGACAGAGCTGTATCACCTGAGTAAAGGTCTTCTGCCACGGTAGCATACACGTGGAAAGAGCATTTCAGGACACTGAAACCATCAGTTGCATTGGTGTAGTGCTGGCTTAAAAGATCATGTGTTTATGATTATACTATCACAGTGTGCCCATGCAGAAGGATTGCTATGTATTTACATGCAGGATCTCCAAAATAAAAGTTTCTTGCTGTTCCTTCTCTTCACACCATTTATTTTATTCTACATTTTTTACCAAAACGTGAAGCGGCAGCTCCGCATGCTCTGCAAAACTTGACACATCAAGAAAAGTAATCAGGCCTTGGGCACACCTGAGTTTACATAATGACCAGTGTGAAAATGACCAGAATGAAAATTTTTTTTCAAGTCCTGGCATGTTTGGAAAATACGTTGTGATGTCCTTCCTAACAGGCACAATGCAAAGGAGGCTTATCCCAGAAAAGAAAGAGAAGGGGAGTTGTAAGTGATTTCCCATTAAGTCGTTTCTCAGGTGGTGAGGATCTGAGTCACGATTCCAGAACAAGCCAAAACACTCTGGCATCTCCATTACAACTGTACAGGTAGATTACAGTCACCATATACTAGCTACAGCAGCAGCAGAGCCAGCACCAGAGCTGGTCTTTTCCTTCTCTAGATAAAGCAACAGTAAAAGTCCATGTGGAGTAGCCTCACCCATCATTTCACTCCATTGCTGGCTCTGAAGAGAAATGCACCCAAGTTGTGACGTGCACCAGCTTGTTTTCTCTGTCACCCTGTAGGCCCTGACTTAGCAAGCCTTCTAAAACAGCAAGGTCTCTCTGCTCCTTTTGGTGGCAAAGGCACAAAGCATCATGAACTTCTTCAGAGGACACGTGTCATGGCAGAATTATACTGTTTATTATAAAGGATCTCAGTCTTGAGCTTTGCAGTAAAATGTTTACTGCTGAGAAAAAACAAAACCAACCCAGCAGCTCTCTCCATCACTAACAGTGTTGGCCTTTCTCCATTATCTGGAGACAGCAGTAACCTGTATTTAGATAAAAAGCTACTTGTTCAGTTTCAAAATACACATGCAAACCACCAGATACAGAACAGTGCTTTCACTATTAGAGCTTTTCCTGATTTCTAATGACCTTTAGCACTATCACCCACAGCCTATTCTGATTTCCAAAATAATTTTGGTAGACCAAGGTAGGACCAGACTTGCAATACTGTTTGGTTTTGGGTTTTGGTTTTTGTTTGTTTTTTTTTTTTAATTATTAGTGGTAGTATTTTGCATTAGGCAAATAAACCATGACCTGAGATATCTGTCACACAGGTATTTTGGATTTTTGTGTAAAATATGTTACAGCTTCTAACTTCTGGAACGTAGATGATAATGCATTTGCAGCCAAAGTATAGACTGTATGTTCTATAGAGCTGCACAGGCCAGTCTCCTGAGCTTGAGCTATTAAAATAAATTCTTTATTGGTTAGGTAAGTGCATCAGCAAAAAAAAAAAGCTATAGTAGTTGTAATCAGCTGACATCCTATCCTTGTTACTAACTGTCAGGTATTATTAATGCACTATGAACTGTACATGACGTAATAGGGACAGTATCTGCTGTAATGTCGTTACATTTGAGTATGCAAGCTATGTAATTATGGGTCTAATTTTTTTAATGCATCACTGACTGCATTTTATTGCCAAATACATGAGACGTTTGTAACTGGGCATTTGGCTGTCCACCCACAGCTGGCTGCACTTGCAGATACCTAAGTCTTGCACTTTGAGGTAGCTTGTAACAGTTTCATGAGACAACACCAGAAAAAGGTGACCTATGTGCATAGTACAGTGCTGTGGTCCCTTCTGTTCTAACATGCCACCTGGAGAAAGGGAGACTGGAAGAGTGTGCTGTAAAACTAGGGAGATTTTTTCCTGACTTTGGTGGATGAAAGATGTGAGCTCATAAATAGGAGAGGAAGCTGCATTTGTGATCAGCTTTTCATTTCTGGTGACTCCACGAACACTGTAGGCTTTATTTTCTCTGAAGGCTGGTTACCATGAGTCCACCTTTATCTCTGCTTTGCTCTCTAGTGCAAGCAGTTCTTTGAAATTTCACAGTTTACTCCTCTTCCTTCCCCTCCCTACCAACACACACGGTCACACATAGAGTGTGCACACACGTGCAGAGCTGTTCAACCTCAGTACATGATCCGAGTGCAATGTTTGCTCATTATTTTGAGCCAAATTGTGTTACAATATTAAGGAATACTTGTCAAACTAGATAATGCTGGAAACCAGCATTTATCACTACATATGCAGAATATTAAGTTGAGCTATGGTATAGGTTCCTAAATACTATGTCAACAGCAGCAATAATTAAAACTAGGGAACACACAATAGCCATTCAAAAGCAATCTGTAGTTCTTGACGAAAGGCAAAATGAGGAACTAATGCTTAATTTGAAATACAACTAGATTATTAATGAAGAGCAGCCTCAGAAGAGGAAGTAATGCAGGCTTTAGAAATGGCTTGTACCGCTGCTCGCTACGCAGCAAAGGACTTGTTACGGTCAAGATTCTTGGTGCTGTTACTAAATCTAGAGAGAATTATGCCTATGAGTTATCAACACCACAGCCAAGCACACCTCAGCTGAAAGATCTGCCTAAGATTTGGGTTTGTTATAAAATGGAGGAAGTGTTCCATTCTGAGCTTCACCTGAAAGACACTTACATAAACATCTTAGTTGTTCCATGAAAATAACAAAGCAAGTAGTGGAAGAAGTGAGAACTTGCCTGCTTCGTACTTGCAATACAAAGCTTTGGGCAGTCGTAGGCTTTGTGAAGGGCAAAGAGCAGAAGCCTTAGCAGGAAGGTGGGTCTGCCTGGCACCTTTGCTTTTAGGCCCTAGGGACCATCCCTATTCTTTCACCATAAGAGAAATAACTATGGAACATGGAATTTCTGCTCAGACTGCTGACATTCCAAAATTATCATGAGGCCAAAAGAAACATTCAAGAGACATATGCAATTTGACAAACTTATAAGCACTGAAAGCAGTGCTAGGAAACTTAGCTAAGCAGCTGAGGTGACTGCTTGCCCTCAGTAATTTACTTTATCCATTTCTTGCTTTCATTGCAACATTGCTTCTTGACATTAATCTGCTATAAATGCACATGTTATATTAAAATCGGGATCAGCGTTTCAGGTTGGAATCCCTCCTATTTACTGCTTACATTATTACTGCTTCTCTAGTCAGTAAATTGGATTCATTTTTATAGCAAAGCAGCCTTTTGTTGCTCTGCTCTTAGATGGGAGACAGTACAGCACAATCACTTGCTAAAGTGCTTAAATTCTCTGTCCATCTTCCTACAGAACTCCTGCTCCCCGCAGCAGTGGTTCTGGAGAGGGATGAGGAGAGAACATGTTTGGAGGCAGTGGGGGAAGGAGGGGGGAAAACTATTTCTATGGTTCTTTCTCCTGTTTAAAACCTAGATGGAGAAAAGCAGAGTGGATTAGTCACAAGGAGATGGTTTGTGCTGTTGCCATGACAACAAAACATAAAGGGCAGATGTGAAGCTCAGAAATGCTGCCGACCACTTCTAGGAACCAAATTGCAGATGCAACAGTCTACACGACCTTAGCCCATGAACAATTACATCTTAGTTTTCAGAAGGGATGTTCTGAAATAACAGAGTCCCTTTCCTGAATGCAAGCTCCTGTGCAATGCAGGAGTAGATTTAGTACACAAAGACGACTGGGGAAATACAGAGACACTCATGTAAGACAGGCACTGTCCACATTCCTGACTCACACACCAACATCTTTGGTTAGGGGACAGCAGTCAGGCTGCAGCGCACAAGGAACCAAGGCAGAGGAGGCCTGGAGTAGCCTGGGAATCAGAGATGGCCACCATACCCCAGTGTCACACCACTCCACTTAGGAATGGTGCTGACGGGTC